ATCTTCGTAGGCTTCTTTCAGCTTCGTCCACGCTTGCTTTCCGGTAGTAGCTGTGCGGACTTTGGCAAAACAAATCGGCTCTAGCAGCATGCAGATGGAAGTACGAGCACGTCGATCCTTATCTGTTGTCACAGTTTCACCTACCTCAGTTCCACTTGTTGTAACTGCACTCCACAGATTCCTGTGTTCTTGATAATTTTGTACTTGAAACTTCCAGTCCTGGTAGTTCACGACTCCCTTCAGCTTTTGGATCCCGGCAAGCAATGCACTTGCTCCTGCTTCGTCATTCGACATCGTTGGCGATGTCCTCACAACACATAGGCAATCAGAAGTACGACCCACCAGCAGATTACAAATCTTTCTATTATACACGCTCACTGTTCAAAACGTCCTGCGCCCATAACCTGATGAAATAATGCCAGGAAAGGTGGATGAATTAAGATACACTGTCCGTGTGTGGAACATAGTGCTTTCATGAGTCTTCCATTTATTAGAGAGCGGAAGCAGATATAAAAAAAAACAATAAGCATAAATGTTGCCAACTTATGATGATGATATGATTACCAATCCAACAGAAAGCTACACGTGTCATCAGCGAGATTATGTTCAATCCAGATAGGCATGTTATATTCATTCATTATGGTTTATATTAACCTTCCTCGAAATATACAAAGGTTGAGTGATAATGTGAAGATTTTTAAATGCACACTGAAAAGTTTCCTCACAACAAATGCTTTTTATTCAATAGATGAATATATTTCTTCTAAGCATGTATAAAATTTAATAACTATATTCCTTGTAATTTTGTTTATGAATGGCAATGTAAATTGTGGTTATTTGGTGCTTTTGGTTGTGTGTGGTTGTTTGCTGTTGACACGATTGTATTTCTGCAATCAAGTCTTATTTTGATGAGTTCAATATCCCATCTGACTCGGACAACGGATCACTGAATTTATGAATTATGTATGTATGTATGTATGTATGTATGTATGTATGTATGTCTTCACTGCCACTGCTTGGTAGCTGCTTCCAATGGTGGATGTTCACCTTCCTCTGGGTTTCTGAACTGTCCCCTGCCTCAGCTACTTTCTTCTAACAGCAGGCGCTCACAGCTACTAAAACCTAGCAGATCTCTGACTGCAACTGACTGGTCCTGTTGTTGTTGTTGTAAACCTTCGTAAGGTCTACATACATGGAATAACATCACCACACAGGCAGGGTGAGGAGCCTACAGCCATGGGGCATACATGATAACTACATCAATATTTCAAGAGCTACATACACACAGACACCCATCCCACTGCGCAAGTAATCCAAACAAAGAAAATCTACACAGTGGTGTTTGAATAAAGAGAGGACAGCCCCCAAGTAAAATATTGAAACATTTTAACTAGATTTTATTGATTTTATTATTAATTTTAATAGAGTCCATTATGTTAAATTAGGACACATCACATTCATATGTAGTAGAAGAAGTGGATATACCATAGAGTGAAAGTTTTTGGAAAAAACACCCGATGATGGCCATATATGGGTGAAAGTGAAAAGGAGAAAGAGAAAACAAATAAGTTTCATTGTGGATGGAGGTATAGCTTGCGAAGAATTATTAGAATGATCAAGTCAAGGATGATGAGATGGGCAGGACATGTAGCACAAAAGATGGCGAAGAGGGATGCATATATGATTTTTGTGAGAAAACCAGAATGAAAGAGACCACTAGAAAGACAAAGACATAGGTGGGTGGATAATATTAAAATGTATCTCAGAGAGATAGGATGGGTTGATACAGACTGATTTGATCTGGCTGAGGGTAGGGACTGGTGGAGGACTCTTGTGAACTTGGTAATGAACCTTCAGGTTTCTTAAAATGTTGGGAAATTCTTGAGTAGCTGTACAACCAGCAGCTTCTCAAGAAGGGCTCATTCCCATGGAGTTAGTTAATTAGTTAAAAATTATGGGCCCTACAATGAAAAGCAAGGCAAGTGTTAAAATTGGGTTCATTTACCAGTGAATCACTAATCAGCAGCTCGTCAAGGAACTTATTAAGGTCAATTAGTGGGGGATGACTAAATTTGAAGGATGATGAATACACTCATTGACATTATCTTGATAATGAAAGAAATTAAGAGGAAAAATTTAGGAAGTACTAATAAGTATCTGTTCATTTATCATTAATTTCAGGTTCTTTGAAGTGGAGAGATCATTTTCATGTAGTTCATCTTGTTACTAATATATGATAAACTATTTCTTGTAATTTATTTCAGTAGACTAATTGCATCTCTGGGCCTAACAAACTGCAGCTTCAGTAAATACTAATTATGTAGGTGCATTATATATGCTTGGTGGTAATACTTCAAGCTCATCTATCATGTAAAAGTCTCAATGAAGGCAGTGCCATATTCCTTGTTCTGCCACTCTTGGTGCTATGATATACCAGTAAGGTATTCTATCTACTTAGAGCTGAGACATACCATACCACAAAGATGCAAAATGTTATGGGTGGATCGGATTGCATAGAGAATGCTAAGAAGATATTTCAACTGAATTTTCGTGTTTTAATGAATTCTGTGGATAGAAGTGATACAATTATAAATTCCATTTTTTATGCACATAAATCATATAAGATCTAAATCAGAATCCAGTCCCTGAAACATTGTGTTTTTAAAAGAAACAGGATGGTTTTTTAAGAACAGACAAGATAATGGATAATGTCCAACAACATATTAATTTGTAACACATAAATCATATTCTTAATTTTACTAATGTAAGATACTTCCAGTTTGTATCTTATTACTTGCTATTACAGTATTTTTAAAAAATGAACCTTGTACAATAAATAAGTCCTTCACAGAAATTCTGAGAGTAGTGTAACTGAGCAAATGATATAGAATAAACATTAAAACACTTTAATTCAGTTTTCAAAATGTGTGGGGAAATGTTGCAGATATAGTATCAGAAATGATACTATGACACATCTCTTATGCAGAGTTCAACATACCGATGTGAGACGAATTCTGGACATCAGCAGAAAGAAGTAAAGAATTCGGCACACAGATGTTCACCATTAGGTGTCATATAGTATTGAGATTACATATGTACCAGCACTCTTCCTTAATACACTGGCTATACAGCAAACCATTTTACATAACTCTTAGTTTACCCTACTTATCACTTGTATGAGAACGCTGGTCACCGTTTCCTCAGTTTGCATATGCATCAAATTATCATGTCCACATATGGAATGATGGAAAATGTTAGTGTGCAGGAATATATGCCAGCTTTTGAGCTCCTTGATTATCGCTATATAACACAGCTGATTTTCTTCCTCCAAGCAGTTCATCAACAAAATTTGAATGCTGTTAGTCTTCCTGGCTACCTCAAACATCACCATATATTCAGACTCTATATTGGACAGTTCTATTGCATGCTGCTCCTCGGATTGCCAAACAACCTCTTAAATTTGAATACAAAACCCAGCATAAGACATGTGGTCCAACTGGTAATATATCCAGTCTGCATCTACATACCCTGAAACATTATGTCTTCTTGAACATTAGACAGCAGTTTATAATTACTTTTCAATGTGTTAACAGGCTTTGTCACTTTCCATTGTTCCTCATTGTACACAGTATCAGATTGATTCATATGAACAGTAGCTTAGTGCGCACTGCTAGATACTTCAAGGATCATACCAAACATCAATAACACATCGAGTTTGCAATGCTTCTCCCTTTAATTCTCTGTTATCTTCTTCTGTAGCTTCTGATTAGAGTTCCCATGGACTTCACTTGTAATATGCCCAAATAATTGTGTGATTTCCTCCATGCAAATCACTTTATTCTATCTGTCTCTTTGAAACTTAAGCCACATCACTGCTTTGCTTCTCTGACATCCTTTTTCTTATCAGATTATCCTTGAGGTCCTGTTTCTCTCTTTTGTTATTGGAGAAAATGAGAAAATCGTCCACATACATTCATAATCTGACTTCTGAGTTTGGCCTCAATTAACACTGTGCCTTGTATCTTATCTTTCATTCTTGATGATTGTTTAAGCCTGTAGATTGTGTTCTTCTGCTTCTTTGACAAATTTGTGTTGTTGCATTTAAGTTTATTCTTTCTTTTTCTTGTAAATCTCAATTTAAAAAGCAGCAATCTCGTCTCCATTATTTTTATTATCAACTCATATGACTTAAGTAGGTAGTTCAATACCACCCTACGATGTTCATTGTTTTGTCCAGTTGTGAGTGACACTTGTTTTGATAGGACCATGTGCCTGTGCACACCTTAACCTCATTAACTTCACTTCATTGTCTGAACAGAATATGGAGAGAATTTCACACAAAACAGTATTCTGAATATGTTGATGTCCTTATTTCTGCATTCTGGGCTCATAACATGTTGCAGATGTAGTATCAGAAGTGACAGTTTGACAAAGTATTACTGACTTTAATATACTTAAGCAGTTTTACTTGGTTCATCTTGGTCCGTCACACTTGTAACAGTATAAAAGATCATTATTGCCATCCAGTGTGATTGACAAATTTTTTTTTTTAATTTTCCATCCTTTACATGTTTCGGTCAGAGCATCAATCTTCAGCAGGACGTTATCAATATAAATAAGTAAACTTAGTGTTTCTATAGAATTAGCAAAGTTAATTATTTAACCATTATATAGCATCGTATATGATACTCCTGTTTGCCTAGTTTCTAGTTAATGTGTCCACTGTTTGATTATTTTATAGTACTTAACTCAGTGAACCAAACATGTACTTGCATGGACATTGCAGACTTTGATTGCTGTGCTTCATACATAGAAACATTGTGCTTTCTTCTCCAGAGAATAAAGGGGAACCAAGTTTCCTCTTAGTGTAAATACTCATCACCAACATGTCTTTTGTCACAAGATGAATGTGAATAATAGTACTCCATTGGGTGAATTATTTGCAGACATGTATCATAATTGTACCTTTTCTTTTCATTATGCTGTAATAACTTTTATAGGGGGAGAAAGGTGATAAGGGAGAACGTGGCCTGACAACAACTCTAAATGGTGATCAGTTTCCAACAGGAATCATTGAAGGGCCTCCAGGTCCCCCTGGACCAGCAGGTAAGTAAAAGTACCAGGTTCAGTAATGGGAGAATAGAAGTTGTGCTCCTATGTATGCACCTGGTGGACGATACTATTTGACTGTAACAGAAATGTTTTGATTTTTTGCGTGAATACATTCATTCCCAGAATGCTTCATAGCTATTTCATTTAAAAAAATTGCTATGTTGTATTATTATTATTATTATTATTTACTGTCAATAAGCACTGTAGTAAGATCATATGCTGTTGATAACTGTTTCATTTAAAACAAATGCTAAATGTTAAGATTAATTGCTGTCAGTTCTTGAAGAAATGAGAGTCAGTGTTTCTCAACAGTAGTTTGAAGGAGAATGTGATGCAACTGTCTGCAGTGAAAGGACTTAATATCATTCATAACGTTTCAGATATCTTCTTTGACTTTCTGAGTAAGACAAATTATTTGTACTATTTATGTTTTAATTAACACTTTATATGAAGCAGTATTTTCGTTGAAAAGTACATTTTTTTAATGTAATAAAGCCTTTTTATACAGAATGTTTGATATTGAACAAAATTACTAATTAATCATTTTAAAATTGCTATTGTACAACAACTTAGGATTGCTAAAACTACCAGAATGCTGAGAAGCACTGATTTTAGAAAAGTAATGACTCAATAGCAACATAAATTAAGTTTTTTTTATAACTATGGAAGTGAATCCCAGTACAATTTAAATTTAATTGCGTTTTTAAATATGCCTGTACAATAAATTTGAAATAAAATTCTATCTCTGGCCAAAACATTCATTAAGCACCCTTATATTTCCGATCCACATCGTCAGATACGTGCCTTTTAAATAGCAGTGAGGCCCTTGAATATATATATATATCTCATAGAACTGTCAGTATACAGTGCGTGTCACATTATCTAGCTTCTGCAGTTTATATCCAAGTTTATGCAATAAGTGTAGGGAACAAAACTGCATAGCAGTAGCACACCATTAGGAAAGGTGGGTTCCATTGACAAAGCGTTATGTGATATTGTTTCAAAAGGACCAGAAGGCCAGAGAGGTGAGAAGGGAGAGATGGGTCCCACTGGACCACCAGGAATGCCTGGAGACAAGGGGCCAAGAGGCAAACGGGGCAAGAGGGTAAGCATACGTTTGAGGAAAGGGCATCAGTTCACTTTGGCTCGCTGGTTCAGTTCATGTGGAAATTATGTGACTTTAAACATGGAATAGAAAGCATTCAGGACAATAAAATCAGTAACAGGCACATGTGTCCAATTTGAGTTATTCTGTCAGTAGTAGGTAGGTAAACTAAACTTAAAGAAATAGAAAAAAAATAAGGCAGCTACAAAATATGTATGTCACACCAGGCATCTGATATATTGATATGTGTCTGGCTTCCCCAGTACAGATGAAATTGTGATCTCAGTGACATGATCGTCAAGCACCTGAAATGAATTTGTCCATCATCTCCTTATGGCATCATTCAGTCATCTAATGCACTAAGAACAAATCCACCTAATTTTGAATACCTACTTTGTCCTACAATTAAATGGGGCGAAATACTTAGTTGTCTCCTTTCTCTTATCCTTCAGCTGGATGGGCAAATTTATGCTACAAAATTGTATGTGAAAGTAATGTCCTAATTTCTGAACTACTGTCAGTTTTTTACTTATAAACAACAGTAATTTAAAGCAGAATATGTACGTGTCCTTCAATAAACAGGAACTGGATTAACACAGAACAATAAGCTAGGTGGCAGCATTAATCTGAACACAGTTTCCTGTTCTGATCACAAGCGAATTATTCTGATTTACTCATGCATTGCAATTAATTACTGTTTACAGTAACAGTAGGTCTGTCATCACTACACAAGTGAATAACATTTTACACACACCTTTGTTCTTCTTATTTCTTAATTATGAGTTATTTAATAACACTCAGTAGCTCAGGTACAGTGCCAAATAGTAAGAGTTATTTTGATTATTGTATAATGAAAAGATTGATATTAAGTGAAACTGAAGCACATGGTAGCGTAGTTGGTTGAGGCACTATGCTACAAGATGAAAGGTTACAGGTTCCATCCCCAATGAGATCATTGGATATTTTCAATTTGCCTAATCCTTCCAGCTACACTATGGCCCTGGGGTCGACACAGCCTGTACTAGAAATGAGTACCAGGAATCTTCCTTGGGTTAAAGGACTGCTGGTACATAAGGCTGAAAACCCTACCACCATCTGTGAGCCAATAGTCTAGAAAATATGGGAGCCTCGACATAACGCAACCATATGGGCCTCCATGGCCTGTTACACGAATAACTTTACCTTTTTTTTTTTTTTTACGATCAAGTGAAACCAGTAACTCAATCAGTTTCGTATATTAATCACACAGTAGGTTTCAATCTCTTTTGTCCATCATCAGATGGGTAAGAAGAACACAGTAAATATATGGCATTTTATACTAAATTATATGATAAAAATGGATCTATTTTTCAACATCATAAAATTAAATTTTATATATGTTAGTGATTGAATATGTGAACATATATTTGCAATGATAGCAAATTATTAAAAATTATAAAATGTGTACATAATAAAATGTATGTATATATAAAAAGCAGCCTAGATGGTGGTTATAGTGTGCTATGTTTGTTTATGTTTTCTTTTAAAGGGGTACTATGTGATTGGAATTTTTAGTCTGAATTATGTGTATAATGGCTATAATTGGTATGCTGTTGGACATATTTGTATATCTTCAGTGTTCTTCTAATTCCCTGTCTGTGTTATACCTATAATGTAAAAGCATAATTACAAGTTATTTTTATTTGTTATGTATACTAAGGTATAGTCATAATTTTTTATACTTACATTTTGTGATGTAGCGGGGAATACTGGGTGTATTGTGCTGCGCAGTTAATCAGTCTGAAAATAATGCTTTGAAGTAATGTTCACTTGTGTTGCAGATTTTTCTGTCTGTTGGTTGAATACTGTATTTTGCTGCATGTAGTCTAGTTGTGGTTTTAGGTTTATTTATGTGGTGGTATTTCTTGTGACTGAAAATTTGGAGTTCTTTGTACTTTTGATTCTTATCTTATTGTTAGGTGTTCTATATTGTTTGTGTAGTTACCAGTTCAAGGAACACCAGCACAGTAAAAAGCAATTAACACCAAAAACCTTCAATAAAATGTTGTTTATTTACTGTGTTTTTCTTACACACCTGATGATGGACTAAAGGGACAGAAACATTTAGTATGCTTAATATAATAAAGTGATGAAGTTATTGGTTTCACTTAATATCAATCTTTTTATTATACAATAATTGTGCCTATAATATTTAAATGGCCTCTTACAATATCATGACATATTTTAAGCATGGACTGCAAAATGTTTTCAAGTTCTTAGATATTTTACTGAAATTCAGATGAGTATAATAATTAATAAATATTTACTATGGCCCTTAGATCCTTCTTTGTGTAACTCATCTATTAAGTAGATTGAAATAACTCCAGGTTAGGAAAACTAAAATATCTCAAATGCCATGTAGGCAATGATATTTCAGAGTTGCAGTTGAACTTAATTTAAGCTGATCCTTTCCATCAGCACGGTTTCATATTCATTATTTGTGTCAACACCTAGAGGTACTGAATAATAAATTCACAGAAAATTGAACATAATTCTGGGAGTTTGAAATTCTTATTGTGTATTGAGCAGTTAATACCTGTGTTCACAATTTACTTATGAAATTATGTTCTTATTTTCAACAGACATTATGATTTATCCCTCTGCATAGTTTATACCTCTCCTAACTTTAGACAAGAAATTTTTGAAGAAAATTAAATTACAGCTTTTTTACCCATGATAATATTTTGCCCAATACATATTTCTTGTGTAAAAGGCAATTAAAGGTAAATGCAGGATGACATCATTGTATGGTTATTTTTAATCACTTTTCTGCAAGAAAAATGTGGTGGTCAAAATATTGTCAAAGGATGTTTTCATCTCTGTGTCAGTCGGTGAATCGTGTGGTGAAATCTGTAGGCACAAATAACCATACAATGATGCCACATTGTGTTTCCCATGAAAATTGTATATCAGTCAAAATTTTATCAAGGAATATTCTCATCTCAATATTTATCAGGGAATCATGGTGTAGTCCATTGGCATGAATATCCAGTCCAACATCACACTCAACTTCTCAACTTCATTTGTATTTTCTACTGAAATTGTGCATTGACGAAAGTTATGTCAAAATGATATTTTGTCAGTGTTCATAAGGGAATCACACATGCATGAACATCCATACCATGTTGCCACATCATTCTTCATATGAAAATTATGCTTTGGTTGAAATTTTATCAAGAAGAATTTAAGTCTGAATACTCATCATGGAATCACTCGGTAGAGTCAGTATGCACAAATATATATACTGTGTTGCCACATCACATTAAACTGTAATTGCCTCAATCTGAAAAGTAGTTTGCAAAAATTTTTTACACCATAACTTTCAAGCATGTTACTTGTGTAAATTACTCAAGTAAATAAGGTATAATTTGCCTTAAAACTTCAAAACACACACACACATATATATATATAAATCGTCACATGCTTGAATCCATTTCTGAAAATTACTAATTTAAAATTAATTTTCCCTCCTACAACAAAACTTAACTTTAATTTTAAAATATTCTAAATTGAATTAAATCATATCATGATTTCATAAATAAAACACATTGTGCAATGTGTTGTGTGATTCAGTTTTGGTCCGTTCTGTAGTGTCATCTTCTCCCCTTCTGATTCATATATTTAACAATGTAACAAAATGTTGGCAGGGAGAAGAATTTCAAATCTTATTGGATTAGAGAAAATATATTAGTATGAGGGCTAGAAATTACAAATAAAATTAATTTAAATAATTTTACATATGTCATATTAGAAGGATTTTAGCCTGAACAGAGTATTTGTCCTAGCTTGTATCATGGAAAGGGTGGCAAACCACTTCATTTTAGCCTGAACAAAGAATTTGTCCTAGCTTGTATCATGGAAAGGGGGGCAAACCACCTCATTTTAGCCCGAACAAAGAATTTGTCCTAGCTTGTATCATGGAAAGGGGGTAGACCACCTCATAGGGTCAGGTTATTGCTTATTTCATAATTGAATGTTCTGACAGTCTGGAGCAAATGTTGATAAAACTTTTCAATGATTTATAATGAAGTAAGAAAAAACATCAAGTATAGTATGTAGTTAATATTTTATCCAGCAAGTGCAGTTTATATCTACTACATGTTGGATTTAATGGTTTTTGTTACTTCATTATAAATATGAAGTATAATGGCTGAATAATGTTCCAAATTAAGTGCCATTAAATCCAAGTGAAAGACCAGTTATGGTTTATGGTAGTAAAACAGTTCTTGAATTATATTAAGTAAATATATAAATTATATTTTACATTAGAAAGTGAAGAACCTTGAAGGGTATTTGGTATAAAATAAGAGAACAAAAGTTGTGGCAAAATAGGAGAAGCCAGGGTATTTATAATCAATCATAAGTTTTCAAAGGATACCAATATGAAAATGTAAATGATATATTGTCGCCTATGCTGCTGACTAAAAAAGTAAAACAGTGCAATAAAGATCAGTACACTATTAATGTGAAAGAAATTTAGAAATGTCAATTCTACATTTAATCTTCTCTGAGAGTCTTCAGCATAGATAAACTTTGCTAACATCAACAACTCTGTGTAGTCCCTTGCCAAATGTTACTCACATGATAACCCATATGGGATATAAACACTGGACTTCATGGGATGAAGATTCTTTTCTTTTAGCCCCTTTTGTTACTTCATATTAAGCAATCTTCAGTTGTATTTGAACATAGAAAATTAGTTTGAATTCATGCGTGTCTTCCATCAGACTACTATTTTCCAACACCACCAGTACTATTACTATTACTACAACTACTACTGTTATTATTAGTAGTAATGGTGGTAGTAATAGTGGTGGTGGTAACAGTGACAGTAGTAGTAGTAGTAGTAGAGTAGTAGTATCAGTAATTGCAGCAACAGTAGTAGTATTATTACCACTTCACACTGCAATGCCAGCAACCTTATGGTAATTATTTCAGATAGCTTTCTTCAGTGTTTGGGTGAGTGATGTGTGTTTAGTGTATGCATGTCACACCTGAATATGTACTTGTGGTATGTTTGTCATGATATCCAAAGACTATCTCTGTTCTGTACTTTTTTTGATCTCTGAGTCCATAATCTCTTTTCAAATCTGCATGTGAGAAGCTTCAGAATTTTTTAATTTTAACATAATATTGTATTATCTGTTTCTGGAAAAGATGGAAGTCTTGGATAAGTCTTTATTTTGTAGAATAATCTTGATTTGCATAAAAATGGAAGTATCAGTAACAGCACAGTGGTTAGGGGCAGCAAAACCTGGCCTTACACTTTCTGCACATATGGTGTCACATCAGATACCTAGTGAAGTAGAAGTAATTAATATTTTGTGTGTTGAAATTATTAATTGAATTTAATGCAGTTGTTTCTTCTTTCATGTTTTGAAATTGAGTTCAATTAAATAATTCAATAGTTGTTTTGAAATGTTGTGTAGCAAAAGAGAAAACAATAGTAACAGTTTTCATTCATTATTTAGCAAAATAAAGCACATAAATAGGAAAATATGGTAACTTCATTTATCTGCAGATATTCATGATGGGAATTAAATAAATATAAATGGGCCTATACCATCTTTTTATGTTGTTCTTTCTTTCCATATATGCCGCATGGGGCAGCATGTGCATTTCTATTTCTGCAATGAATCACTTTTATTCCCTTGGGGTACCACTGGACCTTGATTTACTACCAAAATATTAATGTAAATATAGCTTTACTACTTAAGAGTCTTCCTCTTCATCTTTAAGGAAGGTCTTCATTCAAGCGAAAGGCAATTGGAAGTGGCTGCAGTCACCATACAAAAGAGCCATAACCACACATAGTTTCCCAGTGTTGAATAAAATATTGTTATGCAGACAGAACAATGTTACGTCTTATTTGACAGTCTCATACCAGTGACTATGAAGATTACTGTCTTCTACCAGACTGCATGGTAATTCATTAGAGAAGATAGTACTCTTTAAAATTACATATGATGGAAGTTTACTGGAATTTATAGTCATCTGTTTGATATTGAAATTTGTTGAGATGGATTAGGCTACAGTTCTGTACAACCCAATGTAGATGGTGTACTGATTCAGGATACAGAAGAATTAAATTGAACATACAAAGTTGAAAATAATTTTTTCTAATACTTCCTTTAATTCTCATTAGATCTTCCAGTATACTCCTGGTATAAATTCATAAATCTTTTAATTGAGATTGTCCCCTAGTTGTTCTTTTGCAGAGCATCTTAGTGTGGAAGCATCACATGCACTAGTTTCATTTACTAGCTTCCATTCCCAGAGGGAGCTTATTCAAGAAGTTAGACACTTTGCGTGAAATTAAGAGACATGCTGTAATAAAGTATCTTTCATAAAGCAGAGTGTCATTGAATATGTTTATTTGTTCCAAGAATGGTCAGTGTTTACCACAAAGAGTAATATGTACTGTAATTAAAATAATTTTCACATATCCATAAATACAAAACAATGGTGGTGGCAGCAAGTAGCAATTTGTTTTGCTTTTGATATTTTTTATTTGTACATTGTAGATGAATGTTTAGTAAAGTTATGTGACTGTTCGTTAGAACTAACATCTATGGTTCACATTCTGTAGCTTCTAGTGAACATTCTTAGCTTTAATGCAAATGACCTACAGTACAGTTCTGTGATATTGATAATTGTGTCAAGTATTTAATTTTGCTTTGTTGTTTTGTACATTGCTCCACAGTGCTTTTACTAATTTTAATTTGTTTATTTCTCATTTCCACACTAACCACTTAGTTACTAGTTTTAGTTTATTAACCAGGCCTACAAAATGCAAACCATCCTTTAAATGTGATGTGCATCTGTGATTTGTGTCATTGACCCCAGCATCTGGCCACTGGCTGAAACACATCATGTAAGTATGTGCAGACTCCTTGTTCTAACTTCACTGTTTTATTTTAGACCCTTCTTTTTTATTGCCCTTGAGTATATTTTGCCTGGTACCCTTATATTTCTTCATTCCAGAACCTTATTATATACTGGCAATTTAATTTCTGTTTGCTCTCATTCTCAGCAGTGGCTAATAAAACATCAATAGTCTAAAAATTCCATTTGCTTAATAAAATGTATTGTGTATGAACATAATAGTTGCTGTGATTAATATATATTATAATAAAAAATGGGGAATATTTAGATAAAAGCATTAGTTGCATATACTTAACACTTTGAAAACAGGATTGAATAAATATAACTGTTGTTTTCATCTAAATCTTAGGGTCGAAAAGGTCTGTCTGGCGAAGCTGTAGAGCGAGGTTTACCAGGGCTTCCGGGCCCCAAAGGGGAGATCGGGGACCCGGGGCCCAAGGGTGAAAAGGGAGAGAAGGGTGACTTGGGAGTTGCAGGTACGGATCTCAAATTATTTCTTTTTAAACCCCAAAGTTTAACATAAACTTTAAACATGTTAAACATGGTAATTCACTTCCATAGTTCCTACAGATTTCTGAGAAAAATCCACCATAAAAATAAAAGTAAATGCTGCTTTTTTTTTTTTTAATTTCCTGAAGTCAAATATTAGTCATTAATTGCAGAATTGAGTACACACTGAACTTAAATGTTCATTGAATATGTGTTTGTATCTTTTAACTGAGTATTATTGTATAGTATTTAATTGCACCAGAGAGTAAAATTACTAATTTTATATTTGTAGGAGCAAAGGGTGATCCTGGACCAAGAGGACCACCTGGAGAAGATGGTCAGAATGGAGAAGGAGGTCCACAAGGGCCCCCAGGAATGCCAGTGAGTTCTAACATTGTGTCATGTGAAGGAAACTCGTTCAGGAGAAGACTATTTGCAAATTATATTCTTGCAATGGAAATTACAGAAATAAATATTTTAAGGGATATAGACTAGTAGTGGTTTCCCTGTCTTTCATTTGGTCCCTATTTTGATATCATTCTTCTACTTAACACTCTGATTGAAGTCTTCACAAGAAAGTTTACATCAAAGGGTAATGAACAGTATGGTATAAAAATAAGAAACCAAATCATTTAGGCATAATAAAATTATAATTTTATTAAGTTTTATAATTAAAATTATTATTTATATTGTAGATGTCAAAGCCAACAATATTAAATTATTAATTCATTTTATAGGGGATAAAGTGTTTTTTAAGCTTCCATTTTATTCTGGGGTCTGGGAGACTGAGGAGGACCCCTCCCACAGCCACACTTTTTCTTATTTGTTAAAGAAGCAATGAGATGTACCTCTAAACTCATAGTTGCATGTTGATTTTTTCATTGACAGTACAAGTAAGTTAAACAGGACTAAAATTGAAGTTTTGGCAGAATACAGTTTAATAACCCATACATACATCAGCGTTTCAGAGTATTCATAAGTGTGTCATTGGCACTGAATATAAAACTTGTCAAACAGCAGTCACAAGACAATCGGAAATAAAATCACAGGGACATCAATTCGTCCATAGTTAAAATCTAAACTGAATACCTCAGTTAAATAAATACAATGTTACACATACAATTACACCAACAAGATAATTAGCAATACATAATAATTCTTCCTACTCATCCATGTGAAGCATGAAGTTTTGAAATAAAGTGCAGGAAAAATAATGCAGTTTTCTGAGTTTCATTAAGGAGTAGATCAGGTTACAGAATAAAAAATTAAGCTGATGTGCAAAGAAAAGTTCTCCTAGTGAGCTGTATAAATCCACCTGAACTTCACATAGCAAAAGCTTAATAATCACCATGTTCAAGGACTAGGCTTTTTAGCCTGTTCTTATTCCTAATGAAATTCTGAAGATTCAAAATCATCATTACATTTTAACATTAAAAAATTAAGTATAAGAATGTAAAATTAAATTCCTGTACCATATCTAAAGATCTAAGGATTAAAATATACAAATCTATAATTTTGCCCATTATATTGTACAGGGTGACTCCTGGGAATAGGAAGTTTTTTTCAAATTAACAGTACTCAGCCCATTTTCAACTTAAAGTGTATTTATTGACAGAAAATTACAGGTCAAGATTTGCCATTTTATATACCTAGTTTAGTTGTGAAAAATAACGTCCTGCAGATGACGCCCGTCGTCCTGAATTCAATTTTCCACCCTCTGCTTGAAGTCGTTAAAAACTCGGCCCAACATCTCTCGATGAATCAACTGCACTTATCCACGAATGACATCCTTCAACTCGGTTAAAGAGCAGGGCTTATGGATGTAGACAAGGCTTTTGAGGTACCTCAACAGGAAAAAATCGCAAGCCTATAAATCAGGAGACCTGTGGGGCCAAGGCACATCACCAAAAGGGGAAATGACACGCCCAGCAAACATGTTCCGAAGAATGTTCATTGTTTCTTTTGCAGTGTGTGCAGTGGCTCCATCCTGCTGAAACCAAATGTTTCTCATGTTTACTCATCTCCGCAGTCCTGGTTGAAAGAAGTTACAGACCATATCAATGTAACGAGCTGCGGTAACTGTGACCGTGACTCCATTTTCTTAAAAAGAAATACGGCCCTATAACGCCAAAAGAGGAAACCGCACACCATACTGTGGCACACTGTGAGTGGAGAGGTCGTTGATGAATGTGACGTGGGTTTTCAGAAGCCCAGTAACGAAGGTTCTGCTTGTTTACAGTGCCATTCAAATGAAAATGAGCTTCGTCACTCATCACCAGTGTATTTTCATCCTCTTCAAAAATCAACTGCAAACGTACAGCAAAATCCTCACATCGAGCACAGTCTCTCACTTTCAGCTGTTGAACGCTCTGCATATTGTAAGGATGGAATCATAAATCGTTCTGTAAAATTCTCCTTACCACTTCACGATGAATACATAACTTGGTGGCATGCCTTTGAGCTGCAACCCATCACAGAATCGTGTTCCGACTGGGAATGGCCCCATGTTGACCAACATTAAACTCTTGCTGAAAGAACCGTTGCACAACTGTGACAGACTCACCATTTCGTACGAATGCGTCATACACGAACACGCGGTGTTGCAATGTCCATTGCTCCATTGTAACTAAAATGACATTCGGTTAGAAGGTGAATGACCCCACTCTCCCTCACGTCATCTCTGACCAAATACTACCTGTTTCAAAAACGTCCCACTCCCGGGAGGAGGACGGGCGTCATCTGCAGTACATGATTTTTCACAACTACACTAGATACATAAAATGGCAAATCCTGACCTGTAATTTTCTGTCAATAAATTCGCTTTAAGTTGAAAATGGGTTGAGTACTGTTCATTTGAAAAACGTCCTATTCCTGGGAGTGTAAAGTTTGAGCACTCACATTGACGAAAGATCAAAGGTGTTATGCAATGAAGAGCTGTATAAATTGTACTTTTAACCAAACATTATTAGGATGATAAAATCAAGGAAGTTAAGGTGGTTGGTGCATTCAAATTTCTAGTCAGAAAATGTGCCATGAGAGAACAATATTGTAGCTGAGACATAAATGGGAGGATAACATTAATGGATTTATTTGGTATGAGGGTGTGGAGTGAGTGATGCTACTATGAGGAATAGGGTGAGGGATGGTTCAGTTACCTTACCCAGTTCTCCTACAGGTCTCACTCAGTTCCATTGGATCTTGCAATGTAGTGAAACCCCCATTTAAGGTTTCTTTTGGGAACAGGGGATTTGAACACTAAACTGAAGAAAATAGGCAATTTCACACTGAGATTAATGACTTGGGATCATCAAGATTGAACATTAAATGAAGGAAAACCTTAAATTGATAAATTGAGAGATATTAAATGGGGTTCCACTGTATCCTGTTTTAACCTTACCTACCTGCTATACAGAGTTGCCAGGGTGAACATGACTTGCCCTGAAGTCATATCATAGGTTTCATATAGGTCTGCAGTGCTATTGAATTCACCCACACAAAATCACTGCTAGGAAACTTATATGACATAAATGTGGTTTAATCTCAGGGGTACAAACCTTAGCTAATTTGAGGGAAAAGTTTATTGATGAGTAACCAGAGGGAGTGCTTACAATGAATCCATGTTACTGTTCCTGTCATAATCTTTTGTCATTCCTGACTGACTATACTAGAAAGGTATCCTGCCTGAACCAATATTTACTTCCATGTACAAGGTGCAATAAATGTAGTTTCCAGACTGAAATTATTTCTCAGTAACATCAACACTTAACTTCTAACCTATATTGTCCCCTTCAAAGTAGTCTTCTTTGGATTATGTACTGTAAGCCCAGCAATTACACCGCTGTGCAAAGCACTTCCTGAAGCCAGTTGTTTGAAACTCTGCAAGTACATCCCAAAATCTTGCTTGAATCTTGGCAACATTATTAAATCTCCTTCCCTTTAATATCATCTTCAGTTTCTGGGAAAGAGAGAAGTCACACTGTGCTAAATCTGGTGAGTAGTGAGGGTGTGGAATGATAGTAATGTTGCTCTTAGGCGAAAATCCATACACAGATGAATCAGAGCAGATAGGCACACTGTCATGGTGGAGAGACCAATCCCTGGAATTCCACTTTGCATGTCAATTTCAGCACACTTTCCCACAGATGCTGTAAGATGTCAGTGTAGTAATGTTGGTTTGCAGTTTGTATGGAACAAATTCACAAAGCACATCTACTTGAATGTCAAAAAAGGACAAAAACAGTGAGTAAACTGACATGGAACAGCATATACTTGTAACAATAAATTACTCAACAATTGCACATCCTACAACCTTACTCCAAGCAAGCAATGACTCAGCAAACTGTACACTATCTACAACAGCAACAGAAATTTGTATTAGCAGCACTAGTCTTATCTCACCATCAGTCAGGTAATTGGTTCCACCTTGTATATTCTTTGCATCCAGCCCTTTATCATGTCAAACCACCTTTGAAATTCTTAAACATCAATTTATGCCTAATTCATCTCTTATCTTTTCACTCAGGTTTTGTCTTTTTCTTATAATTAAAATTTATATCCATCCCTTATATTTTATTTTACCTCTCTGACTGTCTTCGTTTCTATATTATGTGTTAATATTTGTTTGTTTTTTTTTGTGTGTGTAATTTACATTATTCCTTCTGCCTCTTTACCCCTTCATCCCTTTCACAGTGTAACAAAAAATTTAACTTCACGTCTGTTGTAGTTATTCCTGAAACTCAGTTTCAGTTTTATTCCAAATATATGAGATTGTATTCACTTACTGCTTCTTTGTCAGTAATTTTTGTCAATTTTTGTCAGTTCCTTGCAGTCTTCATCACTTCCATTTATTTTAGATTAGTAAGCAATCCACATGTTTTAATCAACATGTTTCATTTGTTCATCTCTTTTCAGCATTTTCAATGTTCAAAATTTTTGTCTTCTGCTTTGTGATGCAGTGTAGCTGGTACATGTTCCCTGACCTTCCTCTGAAATGTGAATAAAATCTACCAGGCCACATGGTGTTACATCCCGAAAGACAACAGTCTTCATAGGCACTGTTCTGAGGACCTCTATTCTTTAAGTCTGTTCACTGCACAAGGATGCTGGCTTTAGAAACTAATTTCAGAATGCAGTGAAGTATAGAAAGGTTTATAAATTTGAAACTCAGCCAAAAACTGCATTCATTTTTCTACAGTATGTGTTTTAGAAATTGAAAAGGTTTTTTTATTTCATCAGGGCCAGGCCGGACCCAAAGGAGAGAAAGGAGATTATGGAGACATTGGACCTCCAGGGCTCATGGGTCCTCCTGGATTGCCCGGTCCACCTGTAAGTTACGACAGAGATAATCTCATATGTTATATGTGAATAATAGCAGCATACACGGTCATCTGTGGCAATAATTTAATAGTTAGTGTGTGAAATTTTGAGAGACCATAGCAACAAATTACTCCTCAGTCACATGTTACATGAATGTAAGTTGTGTAAGTCCTGGAAGCATGAATGGAGTTTTTGTTTCATTGTGTCTGTTCTGTGAGCATCAATAATATTTTGATCTGGTTATGCTAAGTATAGTTAGTATTCACCATGGAATGTGACTTAGTTGATGATGATTTGGAAAGATTTTCCTTGTCAAAACATTCATTTAGAAGATATCCATATAGGCCAGTTCAGTGAAACTGTGTTGAGAACTGTAATCTGAACCAAACAGGTTAGTGAAGCGGGACACTTGATAGATTTATGTAGGTAATATGACAGCAATATGCCTGTGTAACTACTTGAATACACATCTCATTGAATAGCATAAGATACTCTTATATTGCCATAAATTCGATCCATATTCAAGCATGTCTCCTATTAATTTCTAGGACACTTAGTAACTAATTAACAACTATACAAGTGACTGTGTTAGACACCTTGATAGTAGACCCTATCAGGAAATAAAGAGGAGTATGTATCTTTTTGGAAGCCCTACATTGAATGGGGTCTACACTTATTATTTGTCCATCAAGAATGGTAAGAACTTCTTCACTGATATGATCAATATTATTATTCTCTGTGCGAAATTGCTTTATTAATGCAATGTGTGGAATCAACTACCCATGTATGTCTTCTGACATTTGATTAATTAATGATGTAATTCCCATAGGTTTTTTCTTAATACCGGTGATGTTATAACCTAATTATGCATGAACCACATTACTCTTTGTCATAATGAACCTCTAAACTTTACTATTTCTTCTAAATACTTTAATTCTAATTTATATATATATATATATTGTAACGTGTTTCGTTACTGATGACGCCATAGAGATGGTTAATTGGTTTATTTAACAACCTACAAGTACTGGTTACAATTAATTATTACACAGTTGCGGGGTTTCACACTTTATAACCCTAATCGCAATAATCTGTTACCACTGTTGCGGGGTTTCACATTTTATAACCCTATGCGCAAATCAGTTCACTCTGTCTTCAGTGGTCTACACGTTTACAGTAGGGGAGCTATGTATCACTGTAGCACACATTCCCAATATAACTGGTTATCACTGGTTATCGCTGGTTATCACACACGCGTCTGTAGCTTGTAACTTGCGAACTGAGAACTCGTTGATAACACACTGCCTCGTAGGCTTGCTTGGAACTCTCGGAGGTAGCTCGAGGACTGGCTGTGAATAGCCTTCGCTGCTCCTTATGTAGCCTCGATCGGACAATACAGAAAACGGCCACGTAATAGGCACCACTATGTCTGGTGCCATTGTGCCAGCAACGCTGTGTACCGCTGTTACTACCGTCGTCTCTCACAACAACTGTTTACCCGCGCTGCCTAGCAACCCGCGGTACCCTTGGTGACGTCATCGCTGTTGACTCGCGTTGCATAGCTACCAGGTTGCGGGGACTCGGCTAACTTCGGCTTCGCTCGGCGCATCACGACTGGCAGGGGGGAGGGGCCTCATCCATAGCTCAACATGTCACACTATATATATATATATGTATGTATGTATTGTAGCGTGTTTTGTGTGTGTCACACTACAAATAAGTTTATGCCGTGGTATTTGATATAGCGAATTTATTGCGCTCACTCACCTTACACACTTTACAATCCTTACCACTTGCAGTGTTACAAATACTGCGTACACAATGTCTCGGCCGATACTCGACTGTCTTCTCTGGCGGTTTATAGCAGACTCACTGTGCGAATGCATTCAACTCCGTTTTATAACCTCAGTCGCTGCTATGGAACGAACCCTTTGTTATAACCATGGAGACTCCTGTTAGAACTACAATAGAGTGATTGTTGTTTCCTATGCAACGGTCTGTTCTAGCGTTTCCATAGAAGTGACTCTTCTGGATTCCCGACACGTTACAATATATATATTCCAATCCACTGGGAAGACCAAGGTGTAGGTGGGTGGACAATATTAAAATGGATCTTAGAGAGATAGGATGGGATGGATTGCATTGATCTAGCTCAGGATAGGGACCAGTGGAGGGCTCTTGTGAATACGGTAATGAACCTTTTGGTTGCATAAAATGCTGGGAAATTCTTCATTAGCTGCAGATTTGACTTCTCAAGAAGGGCTCAGCTCCATAAGTAAGTAAGTAAGTAAGTAAGTATATATATTTCTTCTAATACAGAATATCATTCTCTAGAATGAAAGTCTTTTATGGATAGGAATCTTGTATATTAATATTTTCAGTTTATTATCAGTATCAACTGGCTGTTCTCTATGCCTTATAATTTATTTAGTTATTGCTACTAATAGGTAACTCACTCACTCATGGAGCTGAGCCCTTATTGAGAAGCCACCAATTGTGCAGCTACTCAAGAACTTCCCAGCATTTTTGGAACCTGAAAGTTCATTACCATGCTCATAAAAGCCCTCCACTGGTCCCTGTCCTGAGCCAGATCAATCCACCCATATCATCCCATCCAATTTCTCTTACTTACTTATTCATGGAGCTGAGCCCTTCTGGAGGAGCCGCCAATTCTGCAGCTACTCAAGAATTTTCTAGCATTTTATGGAACCCAAAGGTTCATTACCGTGTTCACAAGAGCCCTCTACTTGTCCCTACCCTGAGCCAGATCTATCCAATCCATACCGTCCCATTCTATCTCTCTAAGATCCATTCTGATATTGTCCACCCACCTACGCCTTGAGTTTCTCTAAGATTCATTTTAATGTTGCCCACCAACCTATGTCTTGGACTTCCTAGTGTGCTCTTTCAACACAAAAATATTTAGTCAGGCACACAGTTCTTTCTATCAGCACCATTCCTAATACAATATATTAACAAGAAGAATGGACAGATATCCCTTTTAAGGCCACTGAAAAATGTTTTTCATTAAGTCTGTGTATGACTTCGGTCTGTTGTCTGGGTATTCAAATGCATTTGACTCAGATGTGATATTACCCATGCAATAAAAATGGAATGTATTAACTGTCAGCAAACTTCCAGAGGGTTCAGAAGGTTTGTGTATGGGTTCATCATAATTCTTGTATATCAGATTTCATCAGAGCCTGTCAAGCGACTCAAAAGATACATGTTGTATTTCACTTACAATATTAAGAACTGTTGCCTGTGAAAGAAATGTTATTAAATGCAATGTATATATGGGAGTATAATAGATGCTGTGTATATGGAATCTCATGAAAATTTGTCAGAAGTCTTAAAAGATATAGACTATAATGATTGAATTAGGACTTTAGCTGCTTAAACATTGTGGCATGCACCTCTCAACTTCTTCCAGGAGGATGACTATTTTCATGTGTACAAGAACCTGAAATAAATTCCACAACCAGCTAAATTCATGGTTCTGTATGGATGTGAAACTTGGTCTCTGACATTAAAGGAGGAACATAGACTGAGAGTGCTTGAGAACAGGGTGCTGGGGAGAATATTTTGATTGAAGAGAGATGAAGTGATGGAAGTTTGGAGAAATCTGCATAAAAAAAGCTTCATAACATGTACTCTTCGCCAGATACAATTAGAATGATTAAGTCAACAAGGATGAGATGGTCAGGTCATGTAGCGGGAAGGTGGGGAGAAGAGGTATGTGTATAGGATATTGGTGGGAAAGCCAGTAGGAAAGAGACCGCTAGGAAGACCAAGACATAGGTGAGTGAACAATATTAAAATGGATCTTACAGAGATTGGACGGGATTTTATGGCCTGGATCAAGCTGGTTCAGGATGGCAACCAGTGGAGGGCTCTTGTGAACATGGTAATGAACCTTCAGGTTCCACAAAATGCTGGGAAGTTCTTGAGTAGCTTCACAATTAGTGGCTTCTCAAGAAGGTCTCAACTCCATGAGTGAATGAATGAATGAATGCTCAGTTCATCAGTAGTGTGTTGTATTTAACGTTTTACAAATAATTTTATTTCTTCATATATTTGGAGTAAAAATGGACTAAGTAGTATTTTCTTATCTAGCTGCAACCTACAATCATAAGCCCATATGAAGATATTTTATGAGGTAAAATGTGTACACAAAAGTTCCAATTCTACATCACAGATGTGGATTTGTAGTGTGTACATTTATATGTATTTGTATTCAGCAGTGAAGTACTATCATCTCTTTACTACAAATGCACAACATATAAATTTCAGTGTCATTAAATAGCCAGCTTGAAAGGAAAGATCCTCAGGACCACGTGGAATGTGGGGATGCGAGTAGTTCCTCTGTGTCAAAGTCCCTGGAGGAACCTCTCAAATCATGTTATTATGGAATGTAACATTTTTATATCTTTGTTTATACTGGGAATATCTGTTCTTGTTTTAGGGGTATCCTGGACAAAAAGGTGAAAAGGGTGAAAAGGGAGAATCGGTAAGCTACAGAATTAATTAATATATATATATATCCGTAACTGATGTGAATTTGAATTACATATTAAAGCAACAAAAGAAACTTATGTTAATTTTGTAATAGTGATTTTTTGTGCTATATGTATTTCTGAAAATATTGTAAAATAATTGTCTGTATTCTTTGATTTATAAAAGTTTAATGATTGTTGATGGTATGCTGTACACTATCTATGTGCTAATATTTGACATTAGTGACTCAGTATAATAATTGAATATATTCTCTGTGGTGACAGTAAATTGGAAAAAAAGAATGCTTATGCACTTTCCTAATAATCATGGAAACTGATAGTACATTTCTACATGTCCATATCACATTAATCTCTCAAAACATCTGTCAGATGTAATAATGGAAACAAGTCGTGTCCAGTAAGAAATATTCATACCAGTTTCCAAAATATGTGTACTATGAACATTTTATGCACATACCTTTTATTTCTGCAAGTTCCTCTAATTATTTTCTCATAAGTATTAATTTAAGAGAAGTGTTTGAAGTTTATTTTGATATAATTTTTGAATTTGTAAATTACATGAAATAAAGTAACAGCTGTCCTTGCAGAAATGAAACTGGGAATTTTTAAGAACAGTCTGCTTTAAACCGCATTTCTTTTTTCTTTTCCTGGCACGTGCTTTGGTCCGCAGAAATACAAAAAACTCAGAAGACGACAGGTAATAAAATATATATGTATGTCATAATTTATAGTGCTAATATCTAATGTTTATGTTACTTTCTACTACGAGGAAGCACTCCTGAAGAGAAACAGGTATAAAGTTTGCCTAGAGGATTAATAAAATATATTTAAAGGACATGATATAATTATTGAACTAATCATATGTTAAAGATACAACCAGTTCTGTAAGAACTACTTGATAAATGTTCATAACAGACAATTTTGAAACAAGTAGATGTATGTAAAATTATTTTAAAGACAAAGCAGGATTGTATGGTTATATTGTGGTGACATCCAAAAGTTAGCAACTATTGAGTAGTCAGATATCTCAGTTTATATACTAATTATTACTTATGAAATACATAACTTATAAGCAATGCGTTGACAGTTCTAATACTACTTTTTCTCAGAGTTTCCTCACTGGTGTTGTATTTAGCCACCCTTCAAGGAGTAGAAAAAGACAATTTACTGTTTTGTAATGTTACATTTTATTTGTGTAAAAATTAAAATGTTCACTGCATACTATCACACAAGCTTTATTTGCTCAATGTATAGTCATTTAACAACTTTTTTCAGTCATATGACCATAATCAGTTGAAATTACACGTAAAATTATACAGCATTTATTAAAACTGTAAGAATAGTATAATGTAGTTAAAGTCGTTTTAATTTTTTATTCAAATCAGATTCATATTGGAAGTATATAAAAATGAAAATATTGTGACATGACAGCTGAAAGCAGGAATGGCAGGCCCAGAAAAGTAATCCGTTTTTAGGCAATGGACAGTAAACATGTTTCCACAGCAACCAAAACATGCTTCCACATCAAAAATACCCAGGCCATTGCTGGGCAAGAACCAGCTTAACGCATCGCTCAAGAATGAAGGAATTCTTGGATGTGACGTTATCTTTGCAGTCCATGATGAGGCTATATAGCAAGGGCGAACCAAAAGAATAAGTCAGTTCATAGCAAAAGGCAAGACAGGTTGAGGCATAGAAAATATAAGAGGCTTAGATTTGGCAGCAGTCAAGCTTACAGCCGTTCAATTGACTAAGTTGCTGTTGTATTAGCATAAGATAAGTAAGATGGGCATTAGCGGCCTCCATAGTCTAGGGGTAACGTTCCCACCTCATGACTCAAGGTACGCGGGTTGAAACCTGGCGGAGGTCGTGGAATTTTTAAGGGCGAAAAAATTCAGGGAACAAGTCCTCTGGGAGGGACTTTAAGCCGTGGGTCCCGTGTCATAGATTTACGGCACGTAAAAGAACCTCATGTCTCTAGGCGACCTCTGAGCTAAATTTGGCCAAAAAGTTTCCCGCCCAAAGTAGTTTCCAATGCCTCTGGTAGATTGGGGAAGTATTAGGTACCACTGCCAGAGGAAGGGGGACCTCTCTGACAGAAAGGGACTAATTATTAGATACCACTGCCAGTAGAAGGTTGGAACCTCGCTGGCAGAAAGGGGCTGATAGTAAGCACCAGTACTGGTAGGGTATGGAGACAGTAGAAATTAAAGGGGGGACGCACAATGGACCAATAACTGGTCTAAGTGCATGGGGAAGCCCACCCCCTCAATACTGAATACTGAAGATGGGCATTCTTTATAATCATTAAGGAATGCATCCTGTTATATGTTAGTACTATATATATATGTGAGTTTTCATACAAGGGTCTCCCCTATGTACAATTGGTGTTAACATGATAACAGTATATTAGTAATTGTAACAGATTTGATTAAAGCATTAACATGCAGTAGCTCAGTAAACACTTCCCAACATGCAGCAATATAAGGGAAACTGTGTTTTCTATGTGCTCTGTGCCAAGCAACAATAGGAACTGAGTTCTCTCTGACCAGTGGCTAGGTTGCACATTGGTTCTTAAAATAGAACTGTGTTTTCTTTGTGGCCTTTGCCACGGCTATATAGTGAGATTCTCAGAATAACCATACCTGTATGGAGGTGGGGATGTCGAAATAGTCACATGGTTTCATAAAATATTGACCCAAGTGATGTAATCTTAAATAAGCTAATTCCTCACAATCGCACAGGATATGTGTGGCTGTTTCATTTTCTTCTTGACACCTCTCACAAGTTGGACTATTACTTACTCCCAGTTTGAAGAGGTGTCCTTTAGTAGAGGGTCGTCCTGTAAGTCCCACCACCCACTGTAGATGGTTCCTGTTTAACTTCAACAGTTCCTTCGCTCTTTTAGTAGAGGGTCCTCGTATGAATCCCTTTGCTTGCCTGAGTCCAGTTGAGGATCCCCATTATTTCTTGTATTGCATGTTTGTCCAGTCCCTGATTGCCTTTCTGGCACCTCATATAGAGATGCCACAGGCTTGTTTAGGTCCTACGAATGGATGTTCATCTCCAGTCTTGGCCAATTGGTCTGCTATTTCATTTTCAGCAATACCCTCATGCCCCGCGCCCATATCAGTTGTACCCTGTTATGTTTGACCAGTTCTGTGGCAATCCCAGACCAATTTTGAGTTGATCTGGTGTTTGTCAAGCGCTTTAACTGCAGCTTGGCTGTCAGATAGAATGTAGATGTTCGTATTTCTGTAGTTCCTATCTAAATTCTCCACAATACATGCCTTAATGGCATATACTTCTGCCTGGAATACTGTCGTGTACTGCCCAAGGCTGAAACTAAGTTTCTGCCTCATGCCATAGCAGTACACACCAGCTCCTCCCTTATTTATCTTGGAACCATCTGTATACCAGATCAGTTCCCCTTGTCTATCGGGCTGAAACCCGTCTTCCCATTCACTCCTGTCAGGAAATCTGACTGTGAAGGGTTTTTCATATACATGTCTCAGTATCATTTTGTCAGACCCAATTTGTAATATGGGTTCTTTTTTCATGTCCTGAGTTATGTATGCATGTCCAAAACTATTGGATTTAGGTTTCCATTGATGGCTGCACTGGAGACGGTAGATTCCTGCCCTGGCCTCTGCCTCCAACTGTATATGCAGTGAGGGGAGTCCAAGGAGTGTCTCCAGTGCAGCTATTCGAGATGTTTGAGTTGTTCCTGTGATACCAAAGCAAGATCTGTTACCTAGCAACAACTAGTGTGAACAGATAGAGAAGAATTTATTTGTGTGTTATAATTACAGTAATCTTGAAAGTGGTATAAATTATTTGTAGTTATGACTGGTGAATATCCAGTAAATTGACTCACCAATCAAGTCCCCTTCTACTAGACACTAATACATGTTACAATATCGTATACAAGTAATGCTTAGAAAAATCTTAAAAGGTAATTTATAATATGAAATGTTGTGTATTTCTAAGAACTGATTTTACACGCTTCTACACATTAACAAGTAATTCTTTTTTATATTTTAGTTTAAATACTGTCAGAAAACAGATCTGACATCAAATATAGATTAAAATAATAATTTTTACTAATTTCTTTTATTTTTACAATTTTAAACAGTTTTGAGTAATTATATGCATAAATCTCACCTGATGATGGTCATATGACTGAAGGAAGTTGTGGGAATGACTATTATTTATTAGAATAAATTTTGTATGACAGTATACAGGAATAGATCACAAATTACACATATAGAGTAAACATCCATTCACAGGCAAAGAAATACAATAAAATGTGTGTTAATCTGGAAAGAAGATTCTCTTAAATCTAGATCATTTCACATTTTTCTTCAGTCACTTTTTCAACTAACATGTTATTCTGCATGTATGTTTCTTATAAGATAAGCTCTTAACCATTAAATATTTCATTGTTGTATATTAATTAATCTTGCATATGAACGTGAATGTCCCACCAAATGTATGGAGTGCTTTAATATTCTCGAGATTACGGGGTTTTTGGATGTTTCCATTATCTGGTATTCTAAAGAACAAAAGAAGGAAATGTTTTGAAAACTGGACCTGTGTCTATCCTCTGATGAGTGGGTGGGAGACACCTGACAATAAAAATGAATTCAGTTTCCAAAACACTGTGTTCTTTTTTATTTTTTTTTTTGTGTTCTTCAGAATACCAGATGATTCAAGTCCAGAAACCCAGTAATCCTGAGTTTTTTTTACACAATCATCAGAACCCTGTAAGATCTACTTGGTTTAATATTGATATTTTGTTTTAAAAATCATGTAGCAAAAGAACAAATGTGGTAACATAATAACTTTGATAAGAACTAGGGCCACGCCATAGCTCAAGTGGTTAGTTGGTGGCTTCCCACCGCAGCGTCTGGGTTCGACCATGGGTCTGGTCAAGTGGGATTTGTGGTGGACAAAGTGGCACTGGGCCGGGTTTTCTCCGAGTATTTCAGTTTCCCCTGCTAATCTTCATTCCACCAAATTCTCCATCATCATAATCACCCGGATGCAGGTACAATAGGCCAATCAGTGGCTGCTGTGCTTAGTGGACTCAGTTGGACTTCACCCCCCACTAAGCGAAAAAAATTGATAAGAGCTCAGAGCTGGAAGTACAAGAATAACATGATTTATATGCAGAGATTAACTTTGCACTGATATCTAACAATTTATTCACAATGTAACCTAAAGTTCACAATCTAAATGAATTAAAGTTGTTACTTAACTTCGTGGGATTGAATCCCAATGGAGTGGATTTTTTCAATTTACCTAATCATTCCAGCCACTCTATGGCCCTGGGGTTGACTCAGCCTCTAACAGAAATGAGGAAAAGGAATATTCCTGGGGGTAAAGGGCAGCAGGTGCATAAGTCTGACGTCACTGCCATCTGTGAGCCGATTGTCTAGAAAATGCGGGAGCCTCAACATCTCACAACATTATGGGCTTCCACGGCCTGGTACAGAGACACTTTTACTTTTACTTAATTCTTACAACTAATAAATGTAGTAGCCTTTCTCCAGCTGGAGATCAGAGATAAAGTGTCCAGTGAAGGATGCATATGTCAGTGTTCCATGTTTATTTCATTCTGACAAGTTCTACATTCTATAATTGTAGAATTTAGCACAGTTTTATCTTATTATCTTAAACTCTTCTAATAAACCCTCCAAGTATCAGAAGTCATTAATTATGGCAGAAGATATGCAAATCCTTTGCTAAGGACCATATATGTCAATTAAACGATGCTCATCTTTTCAGGGAGATGGAACGTTTGAAGGAAGTGGAGGTGAATTTGTAAGTAATTATTCATAATTAAACTGAATGTAATATCAATATTTAAACAGAAAATCATATATGTGTGTGTGTGTGTGTGTATATAAAAACCGCCTCAGTGGTCAGAGTTCCTGGCTATAGGTCCAGAGGTCTGGTTTCGATTCCCGCTGCTACCACATTTTTTCTGAGTAGGACTAAAATCATGGAGTTTGTCTTGTTTGTTTGTGTGTATCTATATATACAGGGTGTCCCAGGAGGAATGGACCAAACTTCGGGAGGGTGTNTGCTGGAAATTTTCTTTGAGTAGTCATGCAAGTGCATTTAATGTTTACAGCCAATGAACACACGAAAGTGACTCCTCTGTTGAATATGGCTGGAATAAGTGCAGTTTTTGTTATTTATAGTTTTTTAGGTTAGAATTCTATTAAGACATACCACCCAAGCAATCTGATAGTTATTGAACTCTCTCATATATTTGGCTTGTGAAATGTTATGACTTAAATTTTTTTACAGGTAGTTGGTCCTCCTGGACCACCAGGACCACCGGGAACATCTGGTTTGCAAGGTCCCCCAGGAATTAAAGGTGACAGAGGCATGGATGGAACCAAAGGCGAACCTGTAAGCAAAAACCTTTGTGTTGGAACAGCAGCAGTTTGTATCATGCTCACAGTTTTCATTTAATCACAACCAGATATATCTATGGCTAGTTAAATGGGTATTCTTTCATTTCAGGGAGAAAAGGGAGCAAAAGGTGACCCAGGGCCAATGGGATTACCAGTAAGTCTCAAATGAGATGGGTTTCTATTAGCATCATGTAATACAGTGTGTTTATTGGAAAGATGTTGAGCCACTTTAGCATAACAGTTCAACACACAATCCATGAAGTCAAGCCACAGAATTCCAGACTTCTAGCAGATCCAAAAAGCTGGAAATATTCTCCATTGTTACACATGTATTTCTAGTACCCCTGCAAAAATATTACATTTACCCATTGAAGTTCTTATAAGACAGAGCCAAAAGAACTTGGCCAAAATGGTGAGTTCCCCCAGAAGAGAAATTGGAGCTAGGCTTGAACATTCTCCTCCCTAATTCCCCATACACTTTGAGCATGGGATCAGTATTTCAAGTTTCAGGTTTCCTCTGCTTCCAGATAAGAACACAGAAAGAAGAACTGTCTTCTGTAATTTGGGTAAATTTTAGCTGTAGGATTGTTGGTTCTAGTACTAACATCCCGTGCCTTCACTTCCTAACTTGATGGGAGGTGCATCTGCCTCCTCCACGTGACCAGCTCAATAATTTGTAATTAGGTCTCAGGTAATTGCACTATATAAGAAAGAAATGGCAGCATGGAACTGCAGTTCATTACCCATTTACTGCCATCCTGTACACTACGTATGTAGCAAGCGTCTTAAAGCAGTCTACGAATTACGCATAACATGTTCTAAAATATATTTATTAACACATTTTGAAACATAAACAAATGAATAATAAAAATTAGTGCAATTTGACAGTCACATGATTAGCTATAAATTCATATACATATATTAGTGCTGCCATGTATAAAATACTTATCAAATGCATTGTTCTAAGCCAAGGCAAGAATTTTTCAAATACCCAAACAGCTTAGAATTGAGTGTATTGGAATTCAGAGAGTATGTAATATGAGCACTCCTTTGGCATGACTTTAAATATGTAAAGAAATTGTAATTTTCCTATTTAAGACATAATCATTTGAAAACAAGAAGATCCAGAAAGATCTCATGGTGCCTATTCTTCTGTAACTGGTTCTTTCTCTGCAACAGGGCTGTCAGTATTACAAAACATAATGATGCATCATTATGCATAATTTCTGCTATTTTATATTTTAGATAGCTATAAGTTCTAGGTTTCAGTTCCCTCCCTTGGAGGATAACTTACAGGTGTTCTGAAAAGTCCTGCTCTCCTTACAATTCCATTTCATCTGTGATGAAAGATTTAATGTGCCCTTTGAAAGGGCTGCTTTCCTATCCACCAATTCCATTGGGCAAGATCTATAACAGGCTCCATTTCCTTACATTCCTTGTGTTTCAGTGACCACCACCATTGCAACATGCCTATATAACAGAGCCAGTTCCTCAACCTACATACACCAAACCCAGAGAGGGAGGAAGTATATTTTTCCATAACATTGATATCTGTCTGCAAGACTGCATGGTGTCACAACCCAGATTACAATCTAAATAGCTATAGGCTACTGGTATAGCCTCAAAATTTGAAAATATTACGACATTTGTAAATTTTAATGGAAGAAACTGTTTATAAAAAAATATGTATATATTCTTAAGATATATCACTAAACCTTAGCTCACTGTCAATGGTGATTCATTAATTTTTGCTGTCAAGCAAATGTAAAAAGAAATTCCACATGTTGTTTGTTGCAAATTTTGCATAAGAATGACCTGTAAGCTATGACTGATAAATAATTTGGCTTGACTGAAAAACCATTTCTAAGGTTGAATGAATTTAGTTGTCTTCAGATTCCAAAGTGTCTGTTGTAAATCATTTTTCGAAAATCCTTCTCTATAAAATTGTCCTGAACATTAAGTGATTCAAAGTGAAACCATTTGAAGGCAAATTTCAATTTTGGGACATGGAAGAGTCACATAGTATCAAATCAGGCAATCATGAAGTTACATCACTGTTGTTTGTTTATTGGTACAAGAATCGTTATGAGAGGTGGTGAATGGAAAGTTGTAACGTCATGCTGCAAAAAATTCTTTTCTCTTGCCAACGATTTGGTCTCTTTCCACTGATGCACTGACATAAATATACTAAGCTAAAAGGTGTGAGTAAATGGATATGCTGACTTATTCTGAAGTACTGAATTCATAATTTCTTCGATATGAAAAATAAGAAGCAGCAAGGTACTGAGATTTGAATTTCACATTCATGCTGTTTTTGATCTTTGAGACTACAGACTTCTTTACTGAAAACGATGGCATTTTCTCTTTGGGCCATACTGGAAGACACAAGTCCCATCAGCAGTTACTTTTTCCTCTCATGAAGTTTCATTCTTCCAGCCAGCATGCTGGAAGTGCTGGGCAAGTTTCTTTTCTTATGTTCTTGATAAAGAAACCATTGTGCCACTAGAACACTCAATGAAACAAAAATAAATAAATAAATAATAAAAACTAAATACTAATGACTGTTTTAACTTAAACACAACACAAAATTATGAGAAACATTCATCTGCATACTGTTGTTGTTGTTGTTGTTTGCTGAAGTTCCAATTTCTAGATGTCCCCCACCCACTGATATTCGTCAATTAATAATTAATATAAGGTATGTAAATAAATAGTTCTCATATTTCTTACATTCTCATATACATAGTGCTGTATACAGTGTGAATCTTATTTGCATACTTTTAATATTAGCAACATGTTCTACACTTATAAGCAACTGAAACAGTCATATAAATATATAGTCGAAACTGCTTTGTTAGCAAGATATGGCAGCATGTAGCATGAAGAGTGAAAAGTAGACAAATAATGTAGTTTTGGATAAAGCATTTATTAGCCACATGCAGAACAGTGTCTGGCTAGTTACAAACCCTTTCTGGTCAAATGTTGATATATAATTGACATGGTGCTTCCATGGGCAAATGTTAGTATACTATCGACAAAGTTTCTTTCATGTTTCTGTGGTCATATTTCGATCATGTGTCACTACTTGGCACTGTAGACTATAACAACACATGCATGAATGTTTTATCTGCTTCCTTCTGCCATCTGGAAGTCATAATTTTAACTTCTTGAGGAATGAATGCCATTTATATATTATGGTGTGTCATGTGTTAGTAGCATGCTTTTATATTCAACCGAACCACGGTCCTCTGGATTGAAGGAACAAGATATAATCCCTTGTGTGATGCGGATGTAGAATCTAGTAGTGATACTAGGTGGCTCAAATATGACCGGGACTGAATTTTTTTTGTAAACAAGCCGCATTGCGCAGCAGCTGTACAACCTTGAGAGAGTGAAGCCACAACCTCCACCCTCCCTCCTCTTAGGGTTAGAACCTGTTCAGTCTTGTCTGGAAGTTGCTAGAGTGATGAGTGAACAGAAGGTACCGCGGAGCATGGAACAACGCATTGTGATCAAATTCCTCGGAGAAAACGTCCCGTCCACTGAAATTTACCACAGATTCAAACAACACGTTACAGTATGAGGAAGAGTGTCTCTCACGGACCCATGTATTTGAGCGGTGTAAGTGCTTCAGAGAGGGCAGAGAGCGCGTGGAGAATGAACCGCATGATTGTCGGCCGCGAACATCCGTCACCAAGCCAAACATTGATCGTGCAGACGCACTTATTCGTGAGAATAGGTGCATCGCTATCAAGGAACTTGGAGCAATGTTGTCCAGCAGTGTTGGTAGTGTAGAAGACATCATGAAATACCACCTGCACTATCGCAAGGTGAATGCACGATGGGTACCACGCACTTTGATGGACATAAACAAAATGGTGCACATGCAAGTTGCCAGTCATCTCCTACAGCAGTTTGAAGATGAAGGTGATGCATTTTTGAAGTCTACAGTGACCACCGATGAAACGTGGGTGCATTACTTCATTCCCGAGTCCCAGCAATCATCACGCGAGTGGCGGCATACCACTTCTCCCAAACCCAAGAGAGCGCGGAGGAGCCGTTCGGCAGGAAAAGTGATGGCAACGTTCTTCTGGGACTGGCAGGGGGTTATCCATGTAGACTTTCTGACAGATGCGAGAACAGTCAATTCAGCTTATTACTCAGACCTCCTGGCAACGGACATGAAATCCGATCCAAGCGGAAGAGAGGTGGAAAGCGGGTAGCCTTCCTTCAAGACAGTGCACGCCCCCATACGGCCAAAACAACAATGGAAACCCTCTGGAAATTGAAATGGAACCTTCTGACACATCCACCGTACAGTCCCGATTTGGCACCAGGTGATTTCTACCTGTTCGAAAGGCTCAAATCAGACTTGCAAGGCATGCGGTTTGTGGACAACGATGCCGTCGTCCAGAATGTTCGGGAGTAGATACGCTGCCAACCACAAAACTTTTTTGAAAAGGGCATCAGGATGCTTCCAGAACGTTGGAAAAAATGTGTTGACTCCAGATGGGAGTACGTTGAAGACTGACATGTGCAAGTAAGTGTTTGGCAATTTTGGTTAAAAAAAATCAGTCCCGGTCATATTTGAACCACCTTGTATGTTAAGTGAAGAACTCAGCATTGACTATGATGGGCAATGATGCCACAAAATAAAACCATCAAAGACAGGAAAATACATGGGGTGATAAAACATATAAAGAAACAATTTAAGGAAAATTTTGTGCCACGTAAAATCATTGTGATAGATGAATCAACAGTTTGTTTGAAATGCAAAATAATTTCAAAACTTATAATCCAAAAAAACAACAAAAAAAAAACAAAAAACAAATGAAGTGGGGCATCAGATTATTTGCATTAGTTCAAAGTGACTCTTTTACATTCAGAGTATAGTACAAAATTACAGAAAACTTACAGGTGACACATGTAACTTACCATATTCTGAAAAACCATTCATTTGAAGAATAGTTCTTTCCTTGATGGACAGATTATGACTAAGTCAGTGTGTGAAGACTATCGCCATTTCACTGACAGATATTATAGCAGTGCTGAGTTGGCCCAAGAATTGGACAATCGAAAATGTAAGTACACATTTGGCTTTTTAAATTTATGCCATTGGTGCACCAACTTTTCCAGCAAACCAATTCACTTAGTAGCTTGGCAGGCATTTAAAAACCCCAGACAACCTGGCTGCTTAAATTTTTCTTAATGGGATGACCAGAAAGGACTAATGGTTTACAAAAGATGTTGAAATTGTCCACCATTATAGCCAGTGCATAACTGAACCCTGTTATGCCAAGAATTCCTGATTTGCTGAAAGATGTCAGGCATATTGCATATTGTTATCTCAGCCACTTCATTGGCATTCCACAGGTTGTCAAGTATGTTACATTGTTGGGTTTAAATAATACCCTTCAGATGGCCCCACAAGTAGAAGTCAGCAGGAGTGATTATGGTTATGGAGGCCACACCTGGTTAATTTTGTTCTATCCATCTGCCTTGTGCATGACATTGTGAGTATGATGAGCAGAAGCCCTAGCGCACAGTACCCTCATTGTTTGCCATGTTTCCAGAGGTACATATCCACCAGTTGCAGTAATTATTCAAGATAAAAAGTGTGAATAGAAGGCCCTTGTTACTGAGTGCAGTAGGTCATGAGAACCTAGGAGGACTTCACTAATTATTCCCTCCTAAACATGTTTTTGCAAACTGCTGTCAGAATCATATTTCTTAAAAAAATTGTGCTCTTTATCAGCCCATGTGTGGTGATAACAGATATTTAGAATCCTATTATATGTGAGTCATCATTCATCAGTCATCAGGTTTAAACGCTGCATCCTGAAGCAGTGGCCATTCACAATACTGCTTTTTCTATCATAATTTAGTAGTGATGGAAGAGCTTGAACATGCTGTATGTGAAATGGACACAACAGCTGATAATGCCACACACACTCCACCACTTGCAGGGAAACATAATGACAAAATGGCTGCCTAGTACTACTATTTGGGGATTGTTCTGTGACATGTAGAACAACTTCCACATTGGCAGTGCTGCAAACTCATGGTCTTATCATCATGTGTCATATCAGGCAGCATACAGACTGTTTCTCACAGATGATATCCAGAAAAATGAATGTCCTACAATTTGAATGCCATCATTGCAAATGCTGTCTAGAATATGGACGTGCAGCGGCTGTACTGTACTTCTCTGACAGTAATGTCATATCTTTCAGTTCATCAAAGGAGTACCTCACATTCTGCACCATTCTTTAACACGTAATGTGTCTAGTGTAGTGAACACTACAACACCAGAACATCAGCGGTAGTGACCTCGTATGAGCCTGTGGACTGAGTGATTACTTTGTATGTTTTGCATTGGTGCCTTGCAGTTTTCACATAATGTTGCTATATCTCACTAAGAAAGCAGTTCAACCATTATTTATACAAACATTTCTGCTTGCCTGTAAGTATAGAACATAATTATATTAGAAGTATGCAATTAAAAATCACCCCATATTTAAGATATGTGGGGTGCAATCCAAAAGTTCCCGAAATATATTAATAAAAACTATTACATCTTACCTAGATCTTATTCTGCACCATCACCTTCAAAGTAGTCCCCTTGGCAGCGCATACACCGATCCCAGCGTTTCTGCCACTTTTCAAATGTATCCTGGAAGTCTTTCTTTCTTAGGGTGTTTAGTACTGTCTGCGTTTCCACTTGAATTTCCTCAACTGTATCAAATCTTCGCCCCTTCAACTTGATTTTCATCTTGGGGAAGAGAAAGAAGTCACATGGAGCTAAGTCTGGCGAGTACGGTGGGTTAAGAACTGCCATCTTGTTTTTAGCCAAAAATTCCTGCACAATGTAAGCTGTATACGGTCGTTCGTGTGCCACTTCTGTGGACGTTTTCTCCTCATGTTCTCCGTCAAACACCTTAGAACCTCGCGATAGAACTCTTTATTGACTGTCTCATCAGGAGGGATGAACTGCTTATGAACAATCCTGTCAATATAAAAAAAAAACAGATCAACATGGACTTAATGTTGCTCTTGACTTGTCGAGTTTTTTTTGGCCGAGGTGAAGAAGGGCTCTTCCATTGCGACGATTGCTGCTTGCTTTCGTCACCAGCGACAACCTTCGAAAGAAAGTTTGGATCCTCTTGAAGCTGTTGCTGAAGTTTCCTGCAGACTTCCAAGCGATGCTGCTTCTGTTCATTTTGCAGCAGTAATGGCACAAACTTCGCCGCAATCCTCCTCATGTACAGTTCCTCTGACAAAATTCGTCGACATGTACCATAACTTAGTCCCAAGGTGTTACAGAGGTCTTGGATGGTCAATCTACGATCTTGCAGAATCAGATCCCTAACTTTCATTACATTTTCTGGTGTTTTGTCCGTTGACGGCCTTCCTGAACGATCATCATTATCAGTCCATGTTCGAACATTTTTAAAACGCTTATACCAGTTGTAAGTTTGTGTCTGGCCTAAACTGTTTTCACCAAAAGCTTGCNACCATTCACACGCAAAATTCAAATGTTGGAAACTTTTGGATTGCCCCACGTATAATTAAGACTTATCCTGTATATGATAAAATACCATGATTGCAAAAAAAGTAATGCAAAATTTTGATAGATTTATGTGTCCCCCCCACCCTGAGTCCAAAAGTGACTTTTGGAATGTTGTGTGTCTGTTTGTATGTATACATGGGCAATCACCTCATTAGCAACTTGAATGGTTGGACAAATTTTATTCATATTCAGTATTGAAAGCGTTTTTGTCATAAGTCATTGTTCTGAGTATGAACATTCTAGCCGTAAAAAAATACGGTCTTTCAAATGGGCCCCGAAAACAAAATGGAACTTTTCTGGAAAATGAACTTGAAAGTTTTGGTTACATTTCAGTATTTATGGAGACCATGTCCTTAAATGAAACTCCATAGGTGGCATCTTAAGGAAGATAATCATATGCATTCTAATGACCCAAATGCAAAATTTCAGTTTTGTTGAGACTGGCTTTCTGGCCGGACAGATTTCAGTGTTTGGTATACAGTAACCAACAGCAATGCTTCAAGCAGCAATCATGTTTGCTTCCAAATTGATGCAGTGAAGTTCAGTTGTGTATGAGAAAATATGTGCAGTGATTTGTTTGAGTATATGTTCCTCTTCAGAAGTTGCACTGCTTTCATTCTTCAGAGCTGCTATGTAACAGGTTATATTACAAAATATAGTGGAACCTCCATTTAAAGTGTCTCTGGAGAACAGTGGATATGAATACTAATCTGAGGAAAGTCTTAAATGGAGAAAATTTAACTCTGAGATTATTGACTTTGGATTGTTGAAATTGCACAATAGTGAGGGAAATTCTTAAATCAAGGAACATTAAATTAGGGTTCCACTGTATGCATATCGAGTATGAAGACCTAACTTTCCTTTCTTATGTACATTTATACATAAATTTATTGTTTGATTCTTCCTTCTTATTTGGAATTTGGCAATCTGATGTACATAAGTTTTAATCCTGTCTATCTCAGTCCCTATTGGAAGGCCCAGCTAGAGAACTACTTCATTTTAACATCTCATGGTTTATTGTATTAAGCCTTCTGTCATAATTTTCAGGGCCCAATGGGTCTCCGAGGTGAACCAGGTCGGCCTGGGGAGATGGGAAAATCTGGGGCCATGGTAAGACCTACACATTCTTAAAAAATATAACCTACTCAGTCCATGAAGCCATCAAACTAACCATGCTCACCAACTAACAACATGCTGATGGGATGGCTTCGTCAGTAGACTAATTAACAACTTATTGTCTGTTTGCAATGATATTCAGTACCTTATTGGCCAGCATTTGTAAGACAGTTTAACATAATTAAGGTACTTAAAATAGATTAGTGTAGGAATGGAATGATAAGGACAGAAGTTAACATGTGATTGGAAGGGCACTGAGCGGAAATGGTGTCCTGTGGAAATTTGTGCAATATGTGTAAACTCTGTGAAGAAGTCACACAAATTCCTTGTGTAACCTCATCCTGGACAATAAAAGTTAATGGCTGTTGGAATGGCATCGCAAAATATGAAATTGACAGTCATGGAAAGAATATCATTACAGCATGTTTTGATTTCTGTATTTTGTATAATATTTCTGTCTTAAACAAATTGTAAACAAAAGTGATGAGTATTGATGCAAACAGGCATTGAAGTAGATTGGTGTTCTAACAAGAGTTCAGGAAGTTCTTGTAGCTGCAGAAAGGATCAATATGATGACTATACTAATGAAATTTCATGCAGTTCTTTTGTAAAAATGTGAAACATTCTTAGTACTGTAAAAATGAAATAGGTATTTTTATATTGATTCTTTCTGCATGTCCTACTATATTGTAATTATTTTCTGTAAGGTACCATGTGAATGTTTCACAACCCTCAGTCCAAAATTGTGTTTTTACTTGATGTGGTAAGACTGATATAAGTCATTCGCTGTGTATGGGATATGGCTCCTCAAAAAGAGATGGATCTGAGGATTATATTTAATTGAATTTTCTGATATATACCTTAAATACATACTGGCCATGACATTAGAATTTTTGTTTCCTTAAAGATATAGCGGTTGTTTTACATATTCATTACATACGTTTACAGAGCAAAATACCTTCAAATTTGGATCTAGTTCAGCCATCAAATTCAACTTTCTGATATGTTATTAACACACCATAATATTTTGTATATCTGTTCTACATGTTTCAGCTTGCATTAAGTCACCCTTATGTGCTATTTATGTGTTCCAGGAAACTACTGAACTACATTTCAATATTGAAATCTATTTTAAGAAATTATTGTACATATATATGTTTATATTAGTTAATGTGTTAACATTATTTCACATTTTATATCATATCTAGCTTGGTATTTCCACCCTGTTACTTCATCTTGTAGCGTATTTCTAAAATTGTTCATCTTAATATTTTCTTGCAATTGATTGTATTTCTTGTTGCCATTCTTCTACTTTTACAAATGTACTAAAAGATTGTCCAGTAAGATGGATATATATAGATTGAATATAAATGGGGAAACAATTTTGATGCTTTAACTAATACATACAAGTTAACTAATTAATTCATTTTTAGATGTTTCTATATGTTTAATAATTTCTTAAAATAGTTTCAGTACTGATATGTAATTTAGTAGCTCCCTCAATTTTGTACAGTATGCCACATTATAAAGAGTCCCTAAAGGAGACTTACAAAAAAATAAACTACGTGGTTTTAGTCCGCAAGCAAACTATCCTGACCAAGCGACCGCCGCTTCTCAGCGAAGTTAGTGCCAAGTTTAGCGGATAGAGGGTGTCATGTTGTCAGCGCAACAAATTCCCAGGGCTGTTAATTTCGGTTTTCTAGACTGGAGCCCCTATTTCCTTGAAATAGCTCCTCGATTATCCTCACGAGGCTGAGTAGACACCTTTTCGGACCCACTACTTCTCAGAAAATCTGGTAGCACTGGGAATCGAACCCAGACCTCTGGATCTGTAGCCAGGAACTCTGACCACTAGACCACAGAGGCGGTCTTAATAGAAGTCAAAACACAAAAACCAGAACATTTGTTATAATGATGTGTTAAAAGCATGTCACAGACTTGTATGTAATAGTCCGAAAGTGATTCTAATTTGTATGTGCAATACAATGCTATGAGTTCCATTATTAAGGTCAGAAAAACTTCCCTGGCAACTGAATGAGATATTATAAAGACTGATCACTGTAATTTAATACTTTTATCTCAGTATTTGTCATGTGACCATTGCAGCATTAAACTTTGCCACTGACTTGGTAGTCTCTCTGTCAGAGGTAGGCCTGTGACACACTGAGTGTTTTCAGTCATAGAGTCCTACTTTGACAAGTAATTTAAGAAAATGACATTCTTACTTAGAATAAGACAAGTCATTTAAAGATTGCACATTAATATTCTTCTCCAGAAAGAAATTTTCTTCCTGGCACATTGCACACCTTATTTCATATTGTGTCAATCAAGTTTCATCAGTTTATAAAAATGATTCATCGATAAGCTTTGACAGTGCTTATCAAAAATTTCACATCTCCTAAAATGGAACAAATAATGTTCTTCATTTTTGAACCTGGTGCTAAAATGGAAAACCATTTGTATACCCTATTTTTTATTGATTACAAATCATTCAGGCATTGTTAGTGCCCATTTTCAGTTACGAGTATAATAGTGCTTATATTCACTGGGAATGATAATCCTTCTGCGCACAAATATTTTCATTTCTCATGCTCCCTCTCATGGCATAAATGGTGTACTCAGCCTTGATGTGCCAAATACAACCACTTCCTTATGTTGTGCTGCATTTCTGAAAAGAAATCCAGAATAAATTTGTTTCATGTCACAACTGTCTTACACCAAATCTAATTGGTCCACTTCAGCCAGGCATTTTTGGTAGTATGCTGAAATGGAAATTTGATTCCTCATTGGAAATTTGTCTTCATGTCAACAGTGCCCCAGCACCATTTTTTCCTAATAGGCATCCTTTATAGAAAGTAGGAAGTTACTGAATTTTAAATTGATTAGGAATGGTATAAATGGACCTAACACATTTTCATGCACTGTGTTATTATTTTGCTAGAATTATGCCTCTCTTTGAACCAAAATAAAATTTAACATACTAAAAAATACTCAATATATAAAGGAACGAAAATGCATTTTGCCAAAGTGTGTTGCTCAATTTCTTTGGAGGTGTTTGAATTCTCTGATTTCTTCTCTAGCATACTTACATTGAGGATCATTATTTTTTTGGCCTGCTAGTTACTTGCCCTTGAGAAGAATAATATGGCAAGATTCACATTATGTATATTTTTGTTAATGTGCAGGAGTCTGACATCTTGTTCCAGCCTTGTCAATGAACTCCAGTATCACCCATCTTTACTCTCAAAATGCAATGACTCTGAAATAACCATCATCTTTATCATTTTTGTCATCAAGATCTGACAGTAGAATAATTTGTTTATAGAATAATACAACTTCCCGGGCTCTAACACTGCATAGTTTGCTGCATGTCTATTGACATTTTGAGGAAGATGAAGGTGATGTGCTGAGCTGCACATCATTACAGTGCAGAAGGCTACAGATGTGAGAACCTCACAGCTGACAATTTATTTGTAGTTTTCATTTGTTGCAACTAAACATTGTGAGATTTTACGTAGCTAGATCACTGCCCTCAAACTGTGATATGGAAGGTCATTAACCTTTAAGTGCCGAAGTGCCCAGTTTGTGCCAGTCATGAGTAAGGTCGTCGTGGCCAAAGTACCCCGTTTTGTCCAGTCAGGCATTTAAACTCCGCTAGTGGAAGTGCGCGCGCACGCCGCTAGTAGAAGCGCATGCACATTCCTAAATATTTATTTTCAAATGTAGTAATTACCAGACAGACTTGAGTAAAACCCTAATAGAGGAATTAAAATAATACCTAACTGAACAACAGCAAATAAAAATATACGTATGAGTTATGCCAAAACTTATCCACGATCCAGTAATTTTATTGCAGATTCTGCAGATAGGTATGTTAAAAATATATTGTAAAATTTGATGTACATACCTTTTTTGTTGTTACCTGCTTGATGTATATACAGTTTCAAATAAAACTACCGTATTCAATTTCACTACGAATGCACACAAAACAGATCGCGCTCTGTATCTCAGCCACGATGCAGCTGTCTGTTCACTCAAATAGAAGGGGCAATAAGCTTTTGCAGTTCTAACGGAAGGTTTTAACACTGAAGAAGGGACCCCTCTAACTTTCTCTTGAATAGCCATTCTTTCATTCTTCTGACCTTCAGTCAAAGATTCGAAAATCCGAAGGGTGTAAGCAGTGCTAGCAGAAGACCAAATGATTTTATTGCTTCCATCTGTTTTATGACACCAGGGACTGCTAAAATTTGTCAAGTGTTACAAACAGAAATGAATTTATAATGCAGAACAACTCTGTGAAGAACTGGGAAACAATTTTTGCAGTACGCATCAAAATTAAAACACAAAAAATTGAAAATAGAGTATAACACTTTGTATTAAAAATTTCAAATCTTCCGTTATAATATGCGACACTATGTTCTTTGCTGATATAAACAAAGTTAATACCATCCATTTATCATAAAAATTGTGCTAGATACAGCATTTTTAAACACAACGCTTAAAATTGATTAACTGCCTAACAGAAACGGACATTTAAACGCAAGGGAGCAACGGGCATTTAAACGAGCACCAGCAGCGGGCATTTAAATAAACTCCGGCCAGCTCAAGTTTACCACTATTTTGAAGTCCGGCGTTTAAAGGTTAATAGTACAGAAGGACAGAAATGTACATGAGTGATGGATTGGGAAATAGGAACTGGGCAAAAAAAGAATTAGAGAATTGAATACATAAACCTCGGAGTTAGATGAAGTCAGTTATTGGCAGATTAAATATCTTCGGTTTAGACATTAAATATGTTAAATTCTAACTGACTAATCTCATTTTGAGAACACTAGGTGACTGCGCCAAAGGTCACAAACATCTGCTTCAGCACAATGCTGTGTTTATTTACTGTAGTGACAGAAACTGACATGCACTTCTTATGAGATTATAAAGACAATATAGTGGGTTTAACATGTAGCTCTAGTGGCTGTCATGATCCAATTCAGAGATGG